GGCTTAGTAACAAAGTTACTACGCGGAAGAACTCGTGTTGGGATCTGTTCTACCTTATTGGTGACGGTATGCGTGGGGTGTTCAATTGGGAAGAACATACATCGAAACCCACGTCCTAGCACGTTTAACTAGCTTCTACTCAGGCCCAAAATATCCCCCAGGTATTATAGACCCCTAAACCCTATAAGCCGTAAACCCTAAACCCAACTGAGGACAGTAGGTGGCTCCTGGCTTCTATTGGGTGTTCCCGGCGTTGGGGTAGACAATGGGGACCTTTTAAAGATGGGCCGCCTGAGCGTTAGCCATCGAAGCTCTGAAGTATATGGAGTTTAGGGCTTAGGGGTTAGGGCTTTAAGGTTTAGGGCTCCTTAATGCGGGGTACCTTGAGAAGCATCAGGGAACATGTGCATTACATGCGGGGTCTCCCTTTTCGCTGATGTGGGGAGCCATTTCCCGTATTTGTGCAACGCACTAGTAGGTTTGAATTTCATCCTACAGAAGCCTTACTGGGAAACCCAATGATGTGCCTAGAATCCGCATGTCCCTAGAGCCCCCAACGGCCTCAGATTTTGAGAAATTCATGCTCCAAAGGCTGTTGTGGGGTAAACTTTGGGCTTTGTGACATGAGCTTGGGTTTAAGGGTTTAGGGTTTGAGGTTTAGGGTTTAGGGTTTTAGGGTTGAGGGTTTAGGGCTTACCCCTCCCTTTACCACCCCCCAAGGTTTCCCCCTGTTTAGAGTTATCTAGAGACAAATAGCCCTAAATAACCTTAACTAAGTTAAGCCTTGGGTGTAAGGGGAATAGTGGGGGAACCCATGATAGACATACCGTAGGTAGGAAAACAGGTCCCCTAATAAGTTTACCTCTGCTGACGTCTGAGCAGGAGCTTGGGGGTTGCTGCTAAGGAACTTACATTAAGTTACCATAATGGGAATACATACATATACATATATACACATACAGTAATTAGTAGGGTTTCCCCAATATGGTAGCATAAGTTAAATTCCTTAACAGCAGCCCAGCTTATCATGGAACACGGCCGGCTTTACTTTTTGCCAAGAGTGGCCTGCCATCCTCTGATTTGGCAAAAGGCGTCATAGGCACATCGACCTTGGAGGATCTCGGATGCCCGACAGATCCCAGACAGTTGGCAGGATGCCTGTCCTCTGTGGATCACAAAAAGGATCATATGTACAAAGGCGGCACCCACCTCAGCCTGCATTCGGCACGCAAGAACCGAAGAATCGGTGCCGGTCGAGTAGTTAATTCTGCCGGCGAAGCGTTTACTTCAAAGATCATGTCCTTTTGTATGCCTATGCCTATGCCTGAGAGGTGCCGGAGTAAAGCCATGTTTGGAGATTGGATGCGCTACTCTGTCTAGAATAGGCCTATGCAACTTAGTTAAAAACATGTAGGACAGAACCTCGTAAAGGAAGGACGTACAGGGTTCAGCTACCTTAAACCCTCAACTCTTCGATGCCCACATCAACAGGAGCTGCTTCGCCAACTCCGTGCCGGAGCGGCTGCCAAAGAGGCCGGTACGGGCGCTTTAGGGTTTACCCTAAGGCTCCTAGGACCTTTTGGGGCTTTGTGGGGGAAGGTTTGGGCTTTGGGGGCGAAGGTTTGGGATCCCATTATGAGGGCCCAAGAGCCTTAGGGTAGAGAATAGATTATACCCTGTATTGACCAGTTTATAAATGGAGGCTTCAAACAATTCGAGGTTACTTGTGAGGGGGCCGTTCTGATAATGAATAAGGTCTATATATACATATATATGTGCGTGCGTATGGAGGACTCCACATTTTGAGTTGCGTATATACCCCTGTCTAGCCCTTACGCCCCTTGTTACCACTATATAACCCCATATATCCCCTATCCGCCAGTAGTCCCCTCCCTCTAATGATGAAGCCCGTTTCTCCCCTCAACAGTAGGCATTCCCAATCTGGGGTTTACGGGAATGGAAATTATTTGCTGGTGCCTGAGCGGGGGGGTGGGGGGTTTGGGGAAGGTGAAATGTAAAGTGTAAGCTGCAATGTTACCTAGGGTCCGGGGTGTAGAGTTCTGGGGCAGTGGCAGTGGGGGGGGTTCATTCCAAACATGCAGAACCAAGTGGACATGGAAATCGACGTGAAACGGAAACTTGAGCTAGGTTGGGTGGGATCTACAATGGTATAGGGGGACCTGTTCAGGAATGTACTAGAACTTTGTGATTTTTGTTTTCGGGGCTTTGGATTTAAGATGATTTTAAGATTTACAGGGGAGCTGTGGATTGGATCCCTAAGTCCTACACCCTAAACCCTACTCTGTAGTAATTCCTGTGTCGTCTCCAGCATTGCAGCTTTATCAGTTAGCTTAACCCCTTCAGTAAGGCCAGGAATGCTCTAAACGGGATCCTAAACCTTAGCCCCCAAAGCCAAACCTTACCTCAGAAAGCCTCAAATAGTTCTTGGAGCCTCAGGGCAATCAAAGGGATATTGAGCTTTCTGGGGTACCTTTTCGGTCATTCCCCCTCCCAGTAACTGTCCTTAAAGGGGCCTTATGAATGGGGTTCTGAAAACTCCTATAACCCATTGTGGTAACAGTTACTGTAAGGGGAATGACCCCATGTACCTTCATCCTTTCGAAAAAACTCGGATGGGAGCGCCTAAAAGTCGAGAGTGCGGAGTCCTCTTAACACGGTTTGGGAGTTAGGGTTTAGGGCTTAGGGGTTTTGCGGGATTAGGATTTAGAGTTTAGGGTCTGTTGAGTCTAGGATTTAGGTTTTTGGGTTTTTAGAGTTTTGGATTTATGGTTTAGTGTTTTTAGAGTTTAGGATTTCAGATTCAAGATGTAGGGTGTAGTGCTATCCCTGTTACTCTAAAGACGGTTTCAGAAATAGCCGTTTGTATAAAGACGGTTTCGGGAACAGGCGATGGGGCTTCACACACCTGAGTCCAGAGACCTGCTTTCAGTCCATGGCTGCTCTCTTCAGCACTTTTTTCATCTTCTATGCCCATCCCTCGCCAAGCGCAGGCGTGCAGATTTGTTCAACCTTATGAGTTCAATCCCAGGCAGCATGAGAGAACATCATCGAATAGGCCAGCAAATGCTGCTTAGCAACTTTGACATCCTGGTCCGCAGTGCCCGCAACCTGGCAATTTTTCATACAGAATATTGGAAGAAAATCCGCCTAGAATGCGAAGGTCCTTGAGGCCTCAGTCTTGAGCAGGCCACCATCCACCGGCCCCTATGCAGAGCATGAGCACCCGCCGCCAATTCTTAGTTGGAGATTTTTACGGAAATCCGCGAATGACCAAGCGGGCACCCCCATGCGGAAGAGAAACTTTTCAGCCACATCATTCCATCTTCATCCTGGAAAGTGTGATAGAATCTAGCATTCTGTCCTCAGTTGCATTCATGAGGTGAGCCAACCAACAGAGTAGCGCAAGATATCAATTTCAATACCAACAAAAACACATTGCTGCAAAGTTTCGATAGCGGCGCATGTCATGCAGCAAATGTGACATAACCTTGTTTGGATCGAAGTACAATGGCTAAGCAGTTGCTATTGCTGCCTGGGTACATGCAGCTTTGGCCGAAGCAACCATTCTTGCTTCGCAAGCCTGTTAATTCAGGGTTTTGTTTGGATACAGGGTGCATGGGCAGGGTCACCAAGAGAAACCACATGCAAGATGGTGTTGTGAGCTGGCCTCAAGCTCATAGCCGTCAGGAGAGTGTAGGTTTTGCAAAACGTCTTTCCGGCATGGAAAATTGATTCAGCTTGTTCTTCATTCCTAGCAGACTCATGCAAGCAGTTTGCGCACGCAAGCTTCCCAAATCCAAGCACCCCAAAGTAACAGAGAAAATGCGTAAGAGCCCAGGTAAGCAGAATTAGCTAGCTCATAAGGGGGATCGAAAGAATATTCTATCTATTTACCATGCACAACAAAGTGGCAAATAGCGTCCGCTGCGCTCCATGTGGCCAAAAAAAGCGGCCATACTGGTCCTTGGATTGCAGTATTGATTCAGAGGGATGGGCACAAGGGGATAAGCAACATATTGCTAGTCAGGGTTATAATTGCAAGGAAGCCACATCGCACAAGTTGCAAGGGGAAGTCTGGGATCTGCATAGGCACCAGCATCAAGACTCGTCCTCAAGCAGTTTGCGAGCCATTCCAATATGATTCTATTGTTGTATGCCTTCGCGGCGAGCAGAATATCCCCGGACTTTTTGAGGACCTTCGCTTTTACAGAATTTACCACCCTATTCAGGTAGATGCAACTTCGGGTTCTCATTGGATTAATCATAATAATTGGTTGGATCACTAAAATTGCCAGCCAGCACACAAGTCCCGGTGTAAAAACAGGCTGGGAGCAGGCGATTCGTTCACGCTTGCACCACCCGCGAAATTCACGGTACGCAAGAACCAAGAGCTGCTTCAAGCCCAGATCAAGGTTGCCAAAGAAGCCCATATTGCAGAGCATCATCCTCGTTTACCCAAAAAAGGCCGCAAGAATATGGCATTTTTATGAATCAAGACTTTGCAGTGTATTCTAACGTGCTATGAGAAGAGAATTACTAGAAGGGGTTGATGCAAAATCAGCCTAAATCAGCTCAGGTAAACACAATAAAGGTTTGGACATTCTAGGCAGTGGCCACCCCAACCACAAAATTGCACAAATCCGAATCAAGGCTTTAGGGGGGCTTAGGTATGAATCAGCTGAAACTGTGGAAGCTACAAATTCTTCCAAGGCACAAACTTGCGCCGTTGGCAACATACAGCAAGCCAAGGTTTATGACATGCATTGTACAGAATTTGATGAGGCCATAATGGAAGCCTCTGATCCCAAGGTAAGGACCTCATGCCAAATGGACCAAGAAGGCAAAGTGAAAAAGTCTAGCTCCAAAGATTCTATATATAATAGGAAGATTGTTCACTCAGGCTAGCGGCTTGAAATTTTTACTTGTTGTGCACATTAGCTGTTGGAAACAAGGCCCACCAAAACTTTGTAATCCAAGAGTCAAAGGAATCGAGAGGGCATGCGCCTTGCAAGAAATTGAGCATTGCTAAACTCGTAGGGCAACCAGGCATCAAAATCCCAGTACAGGCGATGTTGACTGTCTGGCCCATGCGCACGACAGTCACAAGCATGGCACACGCGAGCAGACGTCCATATCCATGACGCTGTGAATCTGAAAACCTGCTTCTGCCATAGTTGGTCCCCTCGGATCTCAGTAACAGCAAAAACCGTTTTGTCCTTGCATATGTAACCTCCATAAAGCTCCTGCTTGGGAAGCGCGTGGCCAGCTGGGTCTACAAATGGGCGCAGCCCATCAAAGAGAAGGTTGACACTCCACGTAATGCGGGACAGAACAGCGGTAAGGGTGTGGTGGCCCCAAAGTTTGGATTCCTCTATAGCGAATATAAGGAAACGCGATCGCCTAATGGAGCGGGGTCGCCACAGCGGAAGATTGAAGAAGACACCCAACATCTTGTCAGAATTAAATGCGGTTGTGATCTTGGCTGAGTCCCCATATAAACCAAGTGGAATGTGGCGTTCAGTTGCTTCATGCTCCAAAGCCCATGGTTGCTTGTATTCTCGGGAGTGTCTCCAGAATTCCTCAACGTGATGCATTGGTATACGCAGACCCAAATCATTCCAAAGGTAATCAATCACACTGTGCACGTCCAAAATGGGCCATTTTTGAACCTCGTACCTTCCATCCGATGTGCACACAGGCAAGCGAATGTCAACTGGTTCCTTGATTGGCTAGGGTTGTTTTATAAATTAGAGGAATTTCCGGAAAAAACTTGAATAGGGAAAAAATATACATATGGGAATGACGTGAATTACTGCATTAGGGCCGTTTGTGGAAGTATCGTGGACCCAGCTGAATTGCGAAACAAGCCCTTAAGTCTTTCTAGTGTATACTTCAGTGACCACAGGAACACGGAGGGCCTTCCAGAAATTACGAGGGCCATTGCACTCGGCATATGTACCAAGCCGCCTCACATCTTCAGAGATAACATCAGAATCCTTAGCAGTAAAGGTCACATACAAGTGCACTAGTGAGAACAGCCGAAAACAGCCTGAATCATTATGAGCCAAGGCTCTGCTACGTGAGCTCGGATGTCGCGCATCACCCTTGCAATCGAGCTCGCCTTGGTTGTGATCTACAGAAACTGGGCAAGCATAACTAACACTCACTACGCCACCCTATTTTAGAACCAGATCTACTAGACATTCAGGAAGCGTATAACTGCTTCAGTGGTGGAAATTTAGCTTCTCTGCGGCTTCAGGATGTTTCGGGGATCTGGGTTTACAGTCTATAGAGGCAATTGCACAAAGGCCACGAACAATTGCAAATCATGATCTGCCTATTAATGGGCTAGCCCTGCAAAGCGTTTGCAATGGACACCTCAAAGGTGCATCGTCTAGAAGCTCCCATGGACAACAGCCCATTACCTGTCGGGACCCTGATCAACCTAGATCATGGGCACGTGCTGTGGCCAACATTGGTCATTGCCAAGGTCGTACAGTGCTAACTATTGATTCATCACTTCCACAATGACCTCTATTGCTTCTGCTTCTGCTACTACTGACTGCGACTGCTGCATGCTGCTGCTGCTCCGGCTGCACTACTACTGGTAGCAGTCCTGCTGCTACTACTACTACTACTACCACGACGACTACTACTACTACTACTACGACGACGACGACTACTACTACTACTTATAATTTGGGGGCACTTCGGTCTTGGGTTTTTGGAGTGCTTCAGCCTGGGGTTCGCTTTACAAGCTAAAATTTGCACGCATATAAGAAATAATAGACGGTGTACCAGCACTAGTAGCAGTAGTAGTAGTAGTAGTAGTAGTAGTAATTGTAATTTTAGTGGGAATAGTAAATTAATTGTGTAGTAAAAATACTATAATATAATATAATAGTAGTACGGAAATATCATATGGCAAAGTCTCCGTCACATCGCAGCCTGGGATGTTAAGGGTTTAGGGTGTAGGGTTTGGGGGTGAGTTTCGGGCACAGAAGCTAGAAAACCTGGATCCCCCCCCACCCCCCCCACCCCTCCAAACCCGAAAAAATAGTGTAACCAGGCCCTGGTTACATTATTTTCCCCCTCAAGACCGACCCCAACCCCCTCCCTTCGCCAAATATTGCCCTGAATCCTAGGCCCTGGGCCCAAACTGGACAAAAAGTAGCTACAAGGTCGATAGTATACTCCTGGTAGCGTAGTAGCAGTAGTAGCAGTAGGAGCAGTAGTAGTAGTAGTAGTAGTAGTAGTAGTAGTAGCTATCGTGGTGGTAGTAGTAGTAGTAGTAGTAGTTGTTGTTGTTGTAGTCATAGTAGTCGTAATAACAGCAATTGTATATAGTAATGGTAATATAATTGTAGATTATAGCATAGTAGTAGTAGGAGTCATAGTAGGAGGGCCATGGTAATATGAATGGTACTTTGGGCATCTAGCTTTTTGGGGCTCACACTACACTCGTTCTGTAGTAGTCACAGTGGTGATAATCATAGCAGCAGCAGCACTAGTTCCAGTGGTAGTAGCAACTATAGCAGCAATACCCCAAACATAACAATCCTCATCTCATAGCAGACGTGGTGGCAATGTTGGTGGTGGTGGTGGTGGTGGTGGTGGTGGTGGTGGTTGTGGCGGTGGCGGCGGTGGTGGTGGTGGCGGTGGCAGCCCCGGTGGCTGTGGTTGTGGCGGCAGCAGCACTGGTGGTGGTGGTGATGGTGGTGGTGGTGGTGGTGTTGCTGCAAGTGCTGGCGGTGGTGGTGCTGGTGGTGGGGTGGCAATGGCAGTGGTGGTGCTGGTATTGGTAGCCGTATAGTGGTAGTACCAACAGCAGCAATAGCAGCAGGACTTGAATAGTAAACAATAGTAACGTAATAATAGTGAAGCACTGCATCAGAAATGCAAAATGGTGCATGGTGGTTTCAGTAACTGTTCTAGTTGTCTTTAAAGCAGCATGTCCGCTAGATAGCCAAAATGATGACCAGATAGCCAAGCTGCTCCAGTACTCACCTCCTCGACGGCATTTTCCAGGACATGTGACTGTTGCTGTACTTCTTCTCGGCCTGCAAAATAACGGGAACTAGGGCTTGCACATCCAAGGCTACTTCAAAAGGATTGGTCAACGTGAGGAAGACAATATGAAGTGCCTTGCCCTGCAGATAAATGGCAAGTACGCTGCATGTGCACAGTAGTGGCCTTTTTGTGGAGCGCCGGAACTCAGAGGGCCTGCGTGTACACACGCAGGTTCGCGCAGCATGATTCTAGCTTTGCACGCGCATGCCCTTGCTCAAGGGATGCGTGGACACATCTCAACTTTCCCCAAGCTTCCCTGCCAGTGGTCAAAACCACGGTGTAGCGTAGCGCAGGCCAGACTCAGGTAGAAGGCAATGAGTGCTAGAATGGTTGCTGGGGCCACTTCTGCACTGCATATTCTGGAGAGTTGGGGCACATGAAGTGGGGAAGTGTTGTTGGGTTCATCACATTAACATCTAGGATCTACGGTTGACCAGAAGGGGTCCAAGACCATAGGTCATACGATCTAAGTCTTTCAAATGATCCGTACTACCATTCCAGTTCCCATTGATATGGCATTCTTCCTGATACACCTGCAGCCCAGTACTGAAGCAGCAGCCTTTTGGCTGGGCTTCCTCACCCCAAGCTACACCGACTCAAAAAGTCTTTGAACTCAGTGTGGGCCGAATCCGCAGCTTGCATCGCCTTCTCCAAAGATCCAACGTCCTCTCAAGGAAGTAAGACCATAGGAAACAGGATGTTAGATATACCCCATGATGTATTTTGTAGTTTGCTCCATTATGATCTGCCCTTTCGATCGTGTATGTATTCTTTCGACCCCTGGAACCAACTTGAGCAAGTTGAGAAGTATGTACATGTTCTTTACACGCCCCTGATCTAGAGGAAGCATACATGGGAAGTGTCCTCCTGGTTGTCAAGGCTCGCCTGCAAGTTATCACGCTCTTCGGTCATCATCTCCAGCGCCTTCTCCAGCTTGGGCTCGATGGCGCTGCGGATGTCGGGAGACCTCTTACGGGTCTGTGACAGGAATTGGCTAAGGGTTCGTGGGGTCAGGGGAATCAAAGGTTAGACATTTTTCTGTAGATCGAGGTTGTATTTGTCATGTGGGGGTTTTGGAGGCAGTGGAAGCTGGATCTGTGCCATGCTTTGGCGCCACACATGAATTGCACGGTATTTGCTAGGGGCTGAATGTATTCCTCGCTTCTGGCTAGCACAGCCTGCTCCAGCTACAATATCGCAAGGCTGAGGGTACGATGTAAATTGTTTACAGGGGTGCTAGAGCTGGGGGGCTTGGGGGGTTACGGGTTTGATTTCTTGATAGGAATACACAGCCGAAGATGGGTTTCAAATGTACCTGATTTGCGTGTACAGTCCTGGTAGGCTTAGCAGGTCAGCGAGAATTCGAGGACCCCCAAAAAACTTAGGGCTCATTAAATTAGGGTTTATAAATGTAAGGTGTATTTATTGTGGATGGAGAAATCTTGCACCAACATGTATCATATGCATATATACATTATATATATATATAAATAATAAGAATATAATACATCAATAATTGCTATGTATTGGGTTCCTTAGTGGTGCAAGATTTCCTCTGTCCACAGGAGAAATGGCCATTGAAACCTGAGTGGAGGTGAAGCACATATAAAGCACCCCAAAGTTCCTAAAACACTGAATCATGAAACCGTAGGCAGCTTTTACAACCCTTCCGTATGACCACGTGGGACGAAGTGCGGCTGTCGAACCCTCCCACCCTCAAGAATGCCTACACAAATAGCCCAGGGTATTCATTCAGCATTCGCCCTTGAGTAAGCCAGCCCAGGCAAGAGGCAGCTGCTGGATCTTCTTCTCTTTGTCCTTGGCCTTGCGGATCGCGTCATTCATCGCACCGAGGGCCTGTTACGTCTTGCACGGGAATTTCAGGTGCCAAAGGGATTCGGATCAAGACAGGTATTATACTAATTTGGAGATGGTTTATGATTTGGGCCATGAGTCACGAGGAACCTACAACAATATTGTGAAGCTGTTCGGCCCTTCCATAGATCAGGACCAACACTTGAGACATATCATTGTGGAACACACAATCGTGACAAAAGTTGGGGGCGGCGAAAGGAAACTAATAGGCGCATACGCTGTATACATCAACCGAGAGCTTATTGGGGTTTCCTATGCATTGATAGAGATTGATGACTCAGAACCCGAAACTGAGAGTAAGATTGTCATGGACTAGAGCCCTGCCTGCCCCATTACCTAACCTTGCTTAAGTCTGAAAAATGTAAGCTCTGGTAGTGCCACTCCTCGCTTTGCGCATAGATCAGCTTTTGTATTGATGATAGGTTTTCAGACAAGGACTGGCAGCATCGTATATGCAAACAAGTATAACTAACTTGCATTGTCAGGGTTATTTTCAGAAAAATCATCAGGATACACGGGGGGCAGTGAAAGTGAAAGGCCTTCTTTGCTTTCGCAATTGCTTCTCTCAACTGCTTATCAAGCTGACGCTCCTCTTCCTTCTTGGCAGCTTCCTGCTCCTTCTCAAGCCGCTTCCTTTTTTGATCTTTTGTCTCCTTCTTGCCTTTGCGGGAACCCTTCTTATCCTTCTTTTTCTTCTTGCTCCTCTTCTCAGAGCTACTGCTTGCGGATGTGTCCTGGAAGAGGTAGCAGGAATGAAAGAGGGCTGCATAGTCCTGACAACATAATGAACTATGAAGATTCGGGCCCCCATCCCCTGCGCACGCATGTATGATGAATGGTACAGCGCAATATGCTGAAGCTGAGAGACGATTGAGCTGTGAAACTATTAGCTAGTAGTACTAGCTACTACCACTAACTACGCAATAGTTTTTTAGATCTGACCACCCCTACCACCAACCTTAGATCCAGCCTCGCCAGAGGAAGAGCTGGCCTTTCGCTTCTTGCCCTTCTTAGACTTCGATTTCTTCTTCTTGTCAGCTTTGTCATCATCTGAGTCAGAATCAACATCATCCACAGCTCTGAAAAGCTGCTCCATCACCACATCCTCTTCCGTTGTTTCCGATTCACTGTCCCACACGAGGTAGAGGGTGAGGGCCTGCAGCGGATGGTAAAGTAAGTGGGGGCAACACGAAGGGGCACGCAACATTGCTAATGCATACCGATTTACATCCATCTAAATGTCAAAGGCCTCGTTGTCAGGGTCGTCTGGGTGTGGTTTTGTTTGAGTAGCCTTTGTCTCCTCGTTGGAGAGCTTGTTCTTGATAATGCGGTCAGCTACTTCTTCCGACCCATACTTGCGCACCAGGTCGGCTCGTGTAAGCCAGGCACGCTTTCCCCGATGCCGCAGAGCAGAGGACTTGCTAATGCTAACGAACAGTTGGCTCTTCCTCCACTCTCCTTGGCATGCCTCCCACTGCTCACGTAGTACCTCAAGCTTCTGGTGGCCTCACATGTGATAACTACATGGGTTGCAGTTGCCCCTGCTTAACTTTGTTACAACTTGCACATATTGAATTCAAGCTGCATCCCTTCGCAACATGACCCATCTTCTGGATCTCCTCAGGCGTCGACTCTCCTCAGGGTCATGAGGTCAGTAGTTGGAAGATAAATTCCGATCAACAGCATGATGCATGATCAAGGTCAGATGGGATGTAGTGTAGCATCCTACTACATTAATACCCCTATAAGGTACTCCCTTATAATCCCCTAGGCCTATGTATTCCCTTTAAGAAGTGTATATACACTAGGGCTCACACGCGTTTGAAAGGATACCCTTGTCGATGGCAGAGCCAAGTGGTAGTGATGCTACTGGTAGTAGCTGGCAGCATTCCTAGTGGCGGAGGCTGAGATGGTGGTTACACTGCTGCTGCTGCTGCTGCTGCTGCTGCTGGCGGCGGCGGTTGTGTTGGCGGTGGCGGCTGCTGGCAATGGTGGTGCTGGTGGTGGTGTCGCTGGCGGCAGTGGCGGCGGTGGTTGCGGCGGTTAGGGTTTATATAGGTTTAGGGTTAGCAGGGTTGACAAGCACGATCGTGAAGCCCTGGTCCATCAATCTTCCCTGCACATCCGCACTAACATCATATACTCTAGAGTCATTGTTAATGATGGCATCTACTGTGCCTAGTAGACTATGAACAGTCACTAGATAGTAGTTCACTGCGGAAAATGCAAGGGGTGGTGCCAAACTCACCTATGGCAGGACAATATCTTCTACATGCTGCTGAGCAAATATCCCAGCATAGAGGCGCAGCTATGGGTTCAGTTTCAACTTAACGCAATTTAGGGTTGGAGGGCTGGGCCTAAGGCTTAAGAGTTTTAGGGTTTTAGAGTTTAGGGTTTATAGTTGGGGTTTAGGGACTAGAGTTGATGCCAGTGGCAGACACTGTACAAGTACAGGTAATCAGGTCAAACGGCCCATGGCTACTCCAAATTCCAAAACCATTACAAGCATAGATATGGAATTTAAAGATGGTGAGCGATCTGAGATCCAGGCTGAAGAGGCTCCTGTGAAACCGCATGTAGCGAGCATGCGCAGCTTTGCGGGTAGCTTCCTTCTCGAGAAGTTGCTCAGCCGTAAGTTTCTGTTTATCTGCACCCTTGGCTGCTGGGGCTGCTGGGCCTGATGGGGCTGATGGGGCTGATGGGGCTGTTGGGGGCGCTGCTTTGGGCTGGCTCTTAATGGCAAGGGCTTTTGCATTGGAGTCATTCTTCGAGCCTTTGACGCTGGGGGCTGAGAGGGAAGCAGGCACAGCAGGAACAGGTGGCGCATTCCCGCCCAGGAGCGCAGCGATAGATTCAAGGTCCGACGTGTTGCAGCGCTGCAAGTTGTCAACAACTGTCTGGTACAGCTGCTCTGGGGTTGGCGGCGGTGGGCTCTTCGCCCTGTCCGGATCCTTGGACTTCGTGCGCTTGCGGGTAGCAGGCCTTGAAGCGTTAGCCTCCTCAGCATTAACCCTGTTGGTGTCAGAGTCAGGCTTTGCATCTGGGGGCGCTGGGGGGGCTGGCTCACGTCCACGCATTTCATCATCCAATGCATTGGCCTTGGAAGCATTGCTAGCCTGGTTGGCCTGAGCCACTTTCTTGGCGCCTGCCTTTGTTTTCTTTTTCTTCTGCACTTCTTTGTTCTTGCGCGTGTGCTTGTTCTTTGACGCTTTGCGGGTCGTTGTGTTGCGGCGGGCCTTCTTAGAATTCTGCTTGGAATTCCGCTTGGGTTTCTTCTTGCTTGCTCCAGCTGCCTTGGAACGAATCTCACCAGTTGTAGCCTTAGTTGTGGCACTGCTGCCCGCTGGGGCACTTGTTGTGGCCTTGGACTCTTCGGCTGCTGGCGGGGCATTCCTCGAACTGCTCCGAGCGGAACTGGGAGGCTCTGAGGCACTACGGGGGCTAGAGGTAGTGGACAGGTTCGACAAAGAACGTGTCAGGGCCATTGGGGTGCGAGCGCGCCTGATCCTGGCAGGCGGTGTGCACGGAGTAGTGCTGCGCGGGGAAGGGCTAGGCAGAGCTGGAAGAGCTGCCCGCCCTTGGGGTGTAGCCACACTGCGCAAACCATCTTCCAGACCCTTTGACTTTCCTTAGCAGGATATATATGAATGGGGGAAGACAATGCAATAATGTAATATCTCAGCTCGCTCTCCGGAAACAAGGTGTGCAAAACAAGGGAAGTGCTTGATTCAGTACACATGATCCCCCTGCTATGACTCAATTCGTCACGCTAGTGTAGATCCAGGGCACCAACAATGTTTCTGAATAAGTGCAATATGTCCAATCCTAGTCAGCAAGAGCCCAAAAGCAACCTAAAGCCCTAGAACTCCAGATTGTCCAAAAATCCAGCAGGTGGTGCAGCTTTGCTGGCTCGGTCCTCCCGGGCTTTCAGTGTTGCAGCCGACCTCGTGCAGCAAATCTTGATTATGTTTCAGAGATCTCGAGATGCAATTATTTTGCGAGATGTACTTACAATACTAATTGGATCCATTACTTTGAACTGGGAGGACTGTAAGTCACCTGAGTACATGACACGCCAGTGCTCCATGGGAGAAGATCACGCAAGTCATCCGAGTAAACTTCACCGTACTGCAGAAGTGCAATGTTTTCAGCTGCATCCATGAGTGCCTGCCTCGCAGCAAGCTTTGCGGCCTTTTCAAGAGCTGCTTCTACAGCAGATCTACCCCGGTCTGCTGGCATTGCAGAAAGAAGCAGCCTTGACACACTGCTTAAATCAGCTACCAAAATGATAGCAGATCCTGCGGATTCAATCAGCATTGATCAAAAGGTGTTCAGACATGCCGAAACCACTGCTCACGGCATTTTACGGGGAAAAGGACCTACGGATTTTATGGGAAATCCCGAAACAGTCGCTCACGGGAAACAACATGCTTCTCACGGGAATAAACCTGTTTTCACGCTGTTTTCACGCGTGATTCACGCACTTTTCACGCTTTTCACGCTCCACCCGTCCCAAACACAACTCGAGCAAAAAAAATAAGATTTAAGATCCTGAATGGAAGTGATCACGTGAATCACGCACTTTTTGTCGTAGCAAGCATGGTTGGATGGATCTAAGGAGTCCCGCCAGTTTACTGGAAAAGCTTGCGTGGAAGCACGCATCTGCTTTCCTGCGCCGTCTCTGCAACAAAGATGCGGAGGTCATGCCCCGTCAATTTAGCTTGGTTGCATACTAGACCCATGGATCCTGTCATATTCAGATCTTGCTTGATTCTACCACACTAGTCCCTTATAATATAATATGCTTAATTAGCATAGGCCTAGCTAGCAACCAAGCAGAAATTTGTGTGCAGCTTGTTGCACCAAAAGCAAAATCCAACAGGCACTAGTCCTCAAGACCATATTGAAGTAGAGGTACATATGCTCCACGCTTCACTTCCTCACGCAAGAAGTGCCGGATCGGCGCCAGGTTTGCATGTCGCCACTTGAAGGGCCCCTGCCAAAGGCAAGCTTCATGGCTGCATGCATGGTCTGCGAAGAGATCACAGGTTGAATCAGGAATAGGACTAAGCAGGAACCAGGATTATATATGATTTTCACATAAACTCACACACTGTTGCCAAGGCTTTCTGGCAGTAACTTGCTTCACTGCGCAGGGTGCCTGAGCGATTGCACTTTGCTTGGCAAAGTCACCCTTGGGGTCATAGAGGATCTTGCGGAGCGCATTGCCACCAGACGCCTGCCCAAATGCCAGCTGGCATTTGCAATATACAATTGATCAAAGCTGGGGTGTATAATATTGGTAAGATCGATCATTTTCTAAAGCCACTGATCGAATATAGTTTTGAAGAGCAACACTCAGAAGTCCATCCAAATTACCTGAAGATCCTAGCACTATAACGTTATCATGCATTAAAATGGTCAAAGCCTCGATCAATCACATAATTCCCCCACTAGGGCCCTAGAAGTCTACGCGAGCTTACTAAGTCATGCCTCCATGCAGCGCGGATATCATGTCAGATTTACCAGAAACACCCCCCCCAAAGAAAGATGATTGACCTGTATAGACATAGATCATGCTATGAAAAGTGGTATCTAATCATGTGAGGACCAATATAGAAAAAGCATTATTACATATCCCGAAAAAAAGCATAGGCATGACAAGCTAAGTTCGTCAACAACCCAACCCAGTGAGAATCAAAACGATTCAGAACCCGACCAACCTAATTACCTTGAACTTTAAGAACGCAGCCAAGGATGCCTTCATGTACTTCAAGTGATATTTGGCCACTTGTCTGCCAAATTGTTCAGGATAGGCTTGCGAGAGCTTCAGGTTCTGGGGTACACCAGACCTGAGATGGGCAACATGGCTTGGATTTTTCCTGGGAATGCTCTATATGTTCTTAATGGTAAGGCTGCTGATAATCGGCCATAATAAAGCTGAAAGAACTACTGCGCTCTATGAGTCAGGAAGGCACATATTGGAGGGGATTGTTGTTTGGAGGTTGATGTGCTCATCAAGTTTATAGATGCTCTCGAGATGCAGGTAGCTCCCCAAAGTGTGGTTTAACGACCTAGGACGACCCGCTCAAATATTACACTAGGCTACCTTTGCATCTGCTTTCTGGTTCTAACAATCGTAGTTAGACAGACAGAGTGGGAGCGAGACTCCAAATTCTGCACCTCTCACAGGATACGCAAAAAATTGTCCCTAGATTGCGTAGGGGCTTTTTGGTATATTGGCTAAGGAGCCGCAGGCGCACGCTTTGATTGCAACATGAGTATCGACGACATATCAAGGAAGGGAACAACAATAGGCCATAGGATGGGATGTGGGGTAAAAATATCAAGGCAGAAGCCCAGAAACTGTGTAAAACCATTTCCGATATAGGAAACACAAACACAGGTAGACTGAATACAAAAAGCCCCTGACCCTCATGCCCTCATAGCCAAACGTAGTTAGGTTTTGTCAGTTGGAAAAAGTTACTTCTAGCGACCTCCTGAACCTGCATTGCAAACAAGGCAGGACCCTCAAAGACTATGGCGTCCTGCAGGGGATGCGGAAAGATGAGTTAATGTTGAAATGTATATATTAATTTGGCATGCTGCGTACTATGGCATTTAAGACGCAACTCAACTTTGAGAGGATAGGCATGATAAAAGTTGCCTCTATGGGAGCTAAGCCCGTGACACTTTCCCATCCTTTTTCTTGACCAACCCAAAGCCGTCTTTCTTGAACTTTTGGATACGCTTCCTGTCCCGCTTGGAGAGGCGACGCTTCAACATCTGCAGCCATGGCCTTGATCAGAGCAAGAAGGCAGGTCAGGGGCTAGTAGGGCGCCACTCTTCTAGCTGCTAGCAGTGGCTGCCCGTATGCTAAGTTCAGAGCGCAGTCCCGAAACATATGGTGGGCTTCACAGTGAAGTGCCCAAATGCGCCCATAGGACTTAGTTCAGATCCAGTAGACACATGCACACATTTGGTAAGCAAAGCAGCCAGCAATTGCAGCGTGTCATGTAATCTAGATCAAGGCGCAACGAGACCCTTTGCCACAGCTGCATTCTGATCGCCAACAAATGGATGTACGGGAACCACGGCATCAGGGACGACACAGGCTGTTCCACCAACAGGTAGGCACATCGACACGTAGCCAGCAGACACAGCAGTGTAAAGCGAGCTGTGATCCTCAGCAACAGAAAGCCACGCCAAACTGCAGCAAGGGTGCCAAGGACGGGTATGTTTTGAAACTCCGAAATCTTGCCCAACCAAGATTCTGATTGGACTCCACCACATATGGCCTCCTGACTCCAAAAGGCCGTCGCTTGGACCGGCCGGAAGTCGCCCGGTTCAGGAATATGAAGGATCCGCAAGGTGGACCTCCTGTGAGGACAGCGCCTTCGCGAAGACGCAAGGTCAAGAATACGGATTCAAAGAAGCCTGCCCTTGGCCAGGCAATGTTGAAATCCTCGCTTGACTGCCAAAACCCTCATGACAAGTGGCACTTGGCTGCTGCAGAATGTGCAAAGCCCTGCAGCATGATCAACTAAGTTCTGGACAAACTGCAGATATCATCACTATCACCATGAAGTTCTTTGTCAACAGCTTCCCTCAGAAAGCATTTTCACAATCTAGCCCGACATACAGCCACAAGACTACAGATCCCGTCTCAAGCCACATTGCACAGGACACATCGTTGGCTCTACGCGGAGAACCAGATGAGGCGATGACGCTGAGCCACCTTCGGCACCTTGATATGGGTTTGCAGTTCAGGGAGGGGTTTGCCAGCGTGGGTTCAATTGCTAAGATATCAGCAGTACTTGTCCGCAAGCTTCTACAAGGCAGTGGGACAATACAATATATATATATATAATACATATCCGGCTAGCTGGCGCAGGTTTGTACATTAGGAGCTTCAGCAGGCAGACCTTCTCAACTAATTGAGATGGGCGCAAGTAGATCCGCACCGGGTTCCCAGAATGGGATACTGAATAGAAATATGACTTGCGCAGATACGACTCCCCTTCTCCTAGATGAACGCACGGATTCCTCAAGGAAAGCAGAACAAGAAACCCAGGCGACCTCTAAAGCTAACAATTAGTCATTTGGGGCTCTCCGCCTCCCAGGCACTTTACCTAGCTGCAAGTCACAGCAGCAGGCAGCAGAATGGATTAATTGTTTTGGGCTGTAATCTTCCCATGTCCTTTTCTCCTGCTGCTAGAACATTATGCGAATTTGAGATCCTTGTTGTTATCAGACTTCAGATCCAGATCAGGCATAAGCTATACCCTTGTTGTTTATCTATATATATTAGGCTGCGACTGCTGAACCCCTAGAAGCCAAAGCAACTCTCGAACCCCATGAACCTACAAACCATTGGTCATAGGGGCTTGACA